GAAGAGAGAGAGAGAGAGGAGACCGACGAGAGAGAAAGAAGAGAGAGAGAGAGAGAGAGAGAGAGAGAGAGAGAGAGAGAGAGAGAGAGAGAGAGAGAGAGAGGGACTGACCTGCTGGCTGGCTGCAACTCCTTGCGGCTGCTGCTCTCGAGATGGCTGCTGGGCGGCAGGGTGGACTCCAACAGATGAAGGGAGGTCGTGGCCAGCTCCGGAAACTGGCAGCAGCGGCGGGCGGGGAATTCAAAAAGTTGTGTGAACTCCTAGCAACCCCACCTCAGTAACCTGTGTCGGGCCTTCCACCCCTTTTCTTTTTTTTTTGGCTGGGGGCTGCTTTGCGGACCGGACACCGGAACCCTACATATTGTCCCGGACTGTCTGGAAACCGGTCGGGACGTCCGGTCGGTTACCATGATTTCGAGACCGGAAAACAGAAGAACCTCCACCGACCTCACATTGGTCCCTCTTCCTCCATCAATCACGTCCTTCCCCCCCCTGAGAAGGAAAGCCAGGGGAAGGAAGAGAGGGAAGAGGGGGGGGGAGGGGGTTGCACATTACAAACCCACCACGTGGCAATTCTCGAAAGAGGAGCTGGTCAGAATTATGTTCAGATGCCTAACTTTCGTTATAATGACCGGGCGGATAAAGCACAGACCTGAGCTGAGAAAATGCTTTTAAAAAAAAAGAAAGAGGACCAAAAAGCAAACTGGCCCGTATTCCGGCGCTTTGTCTTGGTATCCTGCCACACCCCCTTCTCCCTGTCCTTCCCACTCTTCATCATCCCCCTTTACTGTCGTTATCCGCTCGCCCAGTTCACGCCCTCGAACGCAAGTGATCACATCTGCCCTTCATCACGCATCCTGCCCTCTCGGTTCTCCCCCTCCCTCCATCTCCTGCCTGCCCTTCCGGCGCTTCGTCTTCGTATCTGCCCCTCCCCATCTCCTCACCGCCTTTCCTGCTCTTCGCCGTTGTACTCTTCATGGTCCCCACCCATGCTACATGAAGATATCCCTGTTCTTTCTTTCGCCAAAAGAAGAAGAAGAAGCCAGGCGCACAGAAAAAGAGAGAGAGAGCGAGGGAGAGAGAAATAAAGGGACGCATCTTGTTGAGCCATGCTCCTCACGCTGTGTCGACCTCACCTCTCTTCTTTGTGTCCCCTTCCCACGTTATGTTGCCCTCTTGATGGCGCTCTTAGCTGGCCGCCTCCTACCGCTCCCCATGCAGTCTTCTGGCTGCCATCCACTCCTCCCGTTTAACATTTCTGCCGTTTCGAATTTCACATGCACACCGGCACGAGCCGCTGCTAGGATCCGTCTGTGTCTCTCTCTTAGCCTGCCCCGATTGCCAATGCTTAGCCTGCCCCGATTGCCAATGCTTTTGTCCGTCTCATCTCTCTCTCGGTCCCGTTTCCCACGTTACCCCGCTCTTTTTACCCTGTATCTTCCACCACTCTCTGCACGCTGCCCTGGCCACACGGTCCACTGCTGGCGCTGCTGCTTTGCTGTCCCCGACCTGCCTCTGTCCTCTTCCTCCACCCTTCCGCTGGCGTCTGTCCTCGACAATGGCTCTTCCGGCGTCCCTGTCCGCGCTCTTCCTCTCTCCTACCGCTCTCCTGGCGCTCCTCTGTTCTCATGGGTTTCCACTGGCATCTGTCCTCAACAATGGCTGCCTTCATTTTTGGCTTCCCATGTCCCTGTCTGCGCTCTTCCTTGACAGCCCGCCGACTCGCTTGTCACCGATCGCCATGCACCTCCCATGGACCAGCGGATTGCAGAAGTGCTGGCCCACTGGCCATCGATCGGCACAACCACTCCAGAAACTTCCCGGCATCGCTGGCGCTGGCTGAGTTTTGGTTGGGCCCGTCCGGCGGCAACCGAAGCCGGCTCTCGATTCGGCCAGCGACCAAGCTTTGGTTGGGCCCGCCCCTCGTCCCCGGCCTCGTTTCCCAACACTGGAGTGGGTTGGGCTTACAGACAGGATCATCAGATCGGAAGAATTGGGTGTCCAGCGTAGGAAGGTATAGAGAGGAGGATGGACACTGCACATGTATAATCTGTTAATGCTTTTTACCTCGAAAATTGTGGAGAGACATCCTCAGCAGTCCTGGTGGTGGTGACGGTTATGATAATGGTGGTGGCCGTGACCGCGGTTACCAACACTACTGGCAGCTCTCAGAAATGTTCAAGGGTTTCTTGTCCTGAGCTACCCCACCGTCCATTACACCTTCACTCGCTTCTCTCTCCTCAATTATGATCGATTTTGTAACTGCAGTTTTGTTTATGCCATTCGGTTGGGTGATTTTCGCAGTCGCTTCTACCTATCAAAAATTTCCCGACTTCTTTCTCCTTGTTTCACTGCCAATAATGTTGAACGAGCGGATAAAGTTCAATTGGACAGTTCATTCCTCCTAAGCTAGGTAGGCAGTTTGGCAACTTTCGAAGTTTCAATCCATTTGGCTACTCCATGTATCTCTTCTATGCCGTCTACTTCTCAGTCTTAAGGAAGCAGGTAAAGCGTGATGGGGTTAAATAAACTCTCTCTCTCTCTCTCTCTCTCTCTCTCTCTCTCTCTCTCTCTCTCTCTCTCTCTC